ACATGTCATGTATTTTTACACATATTCATATATATTTATTCATAAAAAATTTTTTATCAGGACGTTTCATTGTTTAAAAGTCAAATAATTTTTGTCTTGTATTAGCTTAAAAAATTTGGCTATTTTCATAAATTAATAACTCGTTAACAAATGTGAAAAATGCAAAATGGATGACTTTTCATCTCAGTTTAATTCGTTCTGTCCTTATACTTATCGTTAATTATATCTTGTATATATGTACGTATATGTCTATACATATGATAGAATAATTGTTAAAGAAATACTATCGAACACAAAATTTTCGTATATAAAGAGCATCTAATGTTAAGATATTGTTATAATAATAATTTACAATTTTATAGAGATATGACGTGTTCAATCATGATTTTAATTATATCTCTTTTTTCTGATTTTAATGACATTAAAACAAAACAAAATTTTTTAACGATTTTTAGCAAGTATAAAAAATACCTTTTTTCGTACTTAACATGATCGACAAATGCCTTTTTAATCAGAGTTTTTCTGGAGTTTTTCCAAACTTAGTCGTGCACTTCGTTACAAATTAAGCACTTCGCCTTGCTGCCCGTTATAAGATAATTATTCAACAGAATGTGTTTCCATTTTCTTTTCCGCATAAATACAAAAGGATGATAGGATATATTTCGCGGCTAATAATTATGTGAAGGAAAGAAAAGCGGAAAAGCTCACCTTTTGAAATCGTGTATTTTCAGTACCAAATATCCAATACATTTTGTTCTTACAATTACATTGCAAAACTTAAAGAACTTTAAAATTGACATTCCATCATAAAAATAAGCACGTTACAAATTAAAAGTAAGCGATTTTATCTATAAATACGGATAGATTTTAAATGATAATATAATTAATTTAGAAAAACAAATTTTATTTAAAAAGATAAAATTAAATTGATTAAAAGACATACGTATACATATATTTATGCATATTTATATCATTTTATACGTGATAAATTAACCACCGAATGAATAAAACTGTAAGTATATCTGTATGTTTTACAAATATTATTTGTATATTTTATCGGTTGTTAAAATGGTGAATAATAAAAGTATTGTTAAAACACTGTTAAAACGATGAATAAACATGAAAGATAAAAGTATTGATTAACATATAATAGTCTGTAAAATACGCTGCTATAACTATTACTATATCGTATCGTGATAAAGATATAATACATTTAATGAATTAATCTAACGTTACGAACTAATGGGGATGATAGTCAAATGGACGAGTTAAAAGTATAATCGACCATCATTTAATTTATGTCCATCTACTTGCAATATGTGTGATTTCTAATTTGTTATAATTTCTTTTCAAAACTTAAAATATACAGCTCCCGTTTTTATAAGTGATCCTTAAATTTGATATTTAGGATGACTCATCGTACCAGCGTTCAATGACAATTTGTTGTATTCCGAGTAATTTTATCTTCTTGTTAGTAAAAATGTTGAAAGATTAATAGCTTTCGAATAAGTGATTAAAAACATTTTTAATAAATTAAATCTTATGTACATCATATATAAATGCTGGAAATCAAACTTTATTCTTTTTTTAATTTCTATTAAACTTCAACAAGAATGTTATTTTAGAATAAAAAATGCAAAGATATTACAGATGAAAAATTTATGATAAACGATATTGTTCATTCAAAATTATAAATAAACATCAAATTTATGTGTATAAGTTATACGTATTAAAAATTGAATCGATGATGAGACATCCTATACCTTATATTGACAATTATAATAAGTACATAAATTCTACATAAAACTCGCAATTAATTCCTTAATCAGCGAAATTATTCTGACTGCATAATGCAAGAAACTTTTTTGGCAATTACTATTACGAACAACATTCAAATCAAAATGTTGGAATCTTAATATAATAATGTTTAATAGTACCGTTATATACTATAATATAAACGCATGATGCAAATGTTGAGACAAGTTTACGATAATTTATAAGTCTTGATAAAGATTTTGGGAACAATACATATATCATATGTATGTATGGAAACAATGCATACATACTATGAACTGTACTTATATATATATATATATATGTATAGTCACTCTCTTTGACTAATAGCGTTTTTTGACAGAACTAGTGCGCACTCAGTGCACTTCAAAGTCATACAAAAATCGACGTAAAGATGTACGTTTAATAAAAATATAGAAATGAATTAAACCGTGAAATATTCGATACATTTTATTGTGCTATTCGATAAAATACACATTGAGCATTTTATCAATTGAGCTATCTCACTTTTACATGTAGATTAGAATAGTGTACAACAGCTTTAATGTGCACTGAGTGTGCATTGATTCTGCTTATAAAAAACGCTATAAAAATTTGTTATCCTGAGTTTGGCATTTCGATCAAGACTTTTATCCGAATTTATGCGAATATAATAAATTAACAGTTCAGTCACAGAAAGTGACGTAAGAAAAAACAATTTTGTGTTTCATTAATCGAATGATTATTAATCAAGTTCAATTAGCATATGTTTATAATTCGCATTTTTTTTAACACACATAACTTTTAGATTCAAATTCGTACACGTACATACATGTTACATGATACGTTACATGGGAGACTGAAATAAAAATGAACGTCACAATTCTAGTTGCAAAACTCATTTATTTTGCTCTACGAATGCAATCAAAATTCAGAACGAATAGAATTTACTGATTAGTTTTGTACAACGTATATTTTTTTGGAGGGGGGGACTCATATTATTCAGGGAACATATATAGGAATCTATCGATAGTGCGATTGTTGTCTTAGGATCAAATATAAATTAAAAAATCAAATCGAACTATATAACACTCATGTTTTATAATCTAACGTACACACACATGGATATCTGTGAGAGAACACCACAAAGAATATTAATTGTAATCATAATTGTAATTTTTCCCTCGGGGGAAGAACGTAAGTATTTATCGAAAACATAAATGAGATAAAAAAGAAGATACTGGGAAATGCGACAGGTTCGTAGGAACAATTGAGAAGTGGAAATCAAATACAGGCTAAGTTCAAATACAAGAATAATATTCTAAATTATAAAGAACAGATTTCAAATTCTTTGCTTTTAGGAATGATTATTACGTTAATATTTTAAGATACACAAAATATTAAATAAAAATCACAAAATCTTAAAAAATATATCTTTAAAATTTTAGCTACTATAGTAATTAGATGTAAAAATGTTATAAATTACAAATTTCCTCAGTTTCAAATTCAATGATCAAAAGTATTTAGATACTATGTCATATTTGTTATTCAAATTGTACAGATGGCAGAAATTATTCTTTTTTTTAATGTATACATATATGTTTAAGTTTTTAGACATGTATACATATTAATGTTTAAAAGTTAATAATAAATTAATATTAAATAATAAAAGATACGAATTTGATAAAGAAAAAATTTTTAATTTTAACTTACAAATTCTTTTGATATTTGACTTCCACTCTTTCCCCCGTGGGGATATCTATCCTTAAATGTTAGAAAGTATTGATGAAGTCCTTACGTCTTTCTTACAATTATATTGATGTATTACAGATAATATAGCCAATGAATTACAAACAATAATATCGCTAATGAATATGGTAAGGTTACTCTTGTTTAAGTCCTACGTTAGATTTTTTGTTCGATCGTCTCGCTCGTATAATTTTAACGCTTTGGAAAGACGGCAGTTTCCTGTGAATTATAATCTTAAAGACGTGATGTTACAAGATCCTTATTTCCATGTTTCGTTAGAGTTACAATTGGTAAATCTATTACTAAATCACAAAACTACTGAATCTTGTTGCACGTGTCGTCTTAAAACAAAATATAATCGGAATAGTAATACAGAGATTGATATGAGTTTTAATCGAGTAATTTTCGTATAATAAACGAGGCAGTGTTACATCAGGATTTGCTCATTCATAGTTTTTTTTACAGAAGTTTTAAAACTATATTAAATGCATTTGGACCTTTATCTTAAAATTGTTTCAAAAATGTAACAAATAGAGAAAATATGATAATAAATATGTAGTAATATTCACGTTTATAATAAAGAGTATTTAGAAAGAATTCTAGATAATTTATTTAAATTTATATTTTTTTATGAAATCATTTTCTATTCCCCTTCCCCCCCAAAAAAATAAAATCAGGAACAGAGATCTTATAAAATTACATAATAACATATACAAGTGAACTTATAACATGTTATTATTGTAAATTCATTTTAAATAAGATTCTAAGTTGAGATTTAATTAAGATATTTGTGAATGTTAAAAATATATAAATTACAAAATTTAATTAAAAAATTATATCTTCTGTCACTCGTTTTTTATTATTTTAAGTTTTACGAAGTAAAAATTAGACTCAAATATAATATTAATTTTTGAATATTATCAATTGAATTAAAGTATCATTAAAGAATTGGATCCAACACCTCCCTTTCTCTGTATTATTCAGAACTCAATATATCAGTTCGACTGTCATTAAGATCTATTCAATAATGTACGGGTTTTGATAAATTTTTGTAGAAACCTGATTGTGAGTTTTGTATATATTGTAGAGATTTGTATACATTCTAAGATTGTAAGTAAATTTTTTTCAATTAGCATCATGTGCAAATATTGAAAAATCAGTTTGTATGTATGTTAATAAAACAATAATCGGTACAATCATTATAATGTATAATTCAAAATTGAGCGTGATACTGAACGTGCGATCAAGATGTGCGCTTTGGCCTCTTCGACTATTGACGCAAAACAGTAGTATGAATGATATGGAAGTGATGATTCAGGCGATGTCGTGAAAGTCAGCCGAGTAGAACCTCGAGCACATCGTCACCTCACCTTCGAACTTCTGTTATAAACCATGGCAGTTTTTTGGCTTTCATGTATCATAATATCAATGAATCAGTCGATAAATAGGAAGAATTTGAAAAGTTTGTATCCTGCATATCTTTTTTTTTCCGCCATTCGATTTATTAGTCAACTTATACGATCATAGGACATAACACTTGCCATTCTCGCTATATCAATTTTAAAATCGTTATAAGGACGTGTATACATTCGATGGTATAGATAAGTGATTGAGTCATTTATCTGTGCCATCATAGGTATAAAAAATGATTCGATCGCTAATTTTAAACTATTGGTGCCACATAATGAACATAATAAAAAGCATGGGAGTTTGCTTTTGTCTTGATTACTTCGAGTGATATGACGAAAATAATACAATCCGTCGCAAGTATCGAAACATCCATCTCTTCGAGAAGACAACTTATAAATAAAATATGCGAGGTGTATCAAGAGTAAAATATACCATAAAATATCAAGTGCTTACTCTCTGGTTCTGTGTTCGCTTTTGTTATACGTGCACTATCGTAGACGTATGAGACTCGCGTTTCTTTCGTCTTATCGCGTCTCCCTAGCATAGTCGGTGAACGTAATGTAAAGCAAACAATGCGAAATCGTCTATCGATCTATAGAAGTCTCCGCCACTTCTTGACTGATTTCGACTAGACGCGGACACACTAAATCTGAATAAAAATAATCGCAATGGAATATCACCTCACAAAGACGATCGTTTTCGCGTATTGATAACATTGTTTCGAGCAACCTATGTCTATCAATATTCATAAATCACAGTCAATTTAATAGGAATGGACATAACGAATAACAGTAAAAATAATAGTAATTCATTTTCTGCCGAAAGCACGATCTCACTTTAACTGCTATTATTATTTTCTAATATTGATTCCATATACGTTTTAAAATCATGTTGAGCATCACAAAAATGAGCAATAGTCTACATATAATATATCTACATTATCGCTTTGCATCCATAATTTAAATGGCTAGCTGATACAAAGTATCTTTACTATCATTTATTTATCTATCGCAATTTCATGTGCAAGTAAGTACACATACATGAAAGTGCATACCAAAAAACTACTACACACTCTTGGAGATTTTTATGTATAGCAGTTTTTAAAGCATTTTAGTGCAGAGTAATGCATTAAATTTGCTAAGATTAATTGTAAAGCGATAATATAAATGCATTCTGCACATGTAGACTGTAACAAAATATTAATTTATAGGAATGACAGAGTAAATCTACGAATCGATATGCTTTTCCGCGAATGCTTCTAAATTATGTAATTAAATATAGAAGAGAATGGATCCAATTGGCTACATGACTTTTTTGAATTGTCATTATTGAATCAGTTTAATTAGGTAACCATATAGAGCCATTCGTCTCTAAAACTCAGTAGCTTACGGATTAAATCACAAAATTGTAGAATACATTAGCTAAAATACACTCTTTTAGGCTCCTTGACCATTGTTTCGCGACGTTAGCTGTATTTTTAACGATTCTGTATTGCAACAATCATTAAAAAGAAAATTACATTACGCGAACCATGTTAGGCAGACAAAACGATGGAAGAAAGCGTATCGATACAAAAAGTTCTAATATTAAACAATTTTTTATCATCTTACATAAAAAAAAACGCGAACAAAACTAACGTAATTGAGTGAAGCTTATTGTGCGATGTATCTACAAATATTCAGACTTAAAATGCATTGTTTATCAATTCACAAAGTTAAATATGCTGTGCGCAACGAAGATCTATGATATAATCTACAAGACAGCAACTGTTAAAGGCGATACCAATACAGTCTTAAAATAATTCTTAGTCAGTTTTATTGTTGTAGCAGTAAAATAAAACATCGACCAGATCTTTTAATATCATTTATAAAATTATCAAAGGGAAGAAAATACTAAAGTGACAAAATAAAGAAACCAAGGTTTCAAACTGTGAAATTCATTTGGCACAGATACAATCGATATTTTAATATACTGCAACTCTATTTGAAATTACTTATCCTATCAGTTTTCATGTATAGGCGTAGTTGTTTTGTTTAGGCGGTATAAAAAAGATGTCAGACATGTCGCGTAGAGTAATATTAGAAAAAAGCCCCTCAAGAATACGTAGTAATTGATGCGGATGACACGTTTGATTACTTCTAGATCGACCACGTGCGAATTACAACTAAAAATGTTTTGTAACTTTAATCATAACAATTCATTGTCTTTTTTGTAAAAATTATTATAGTAATTGAAAACATAAAAGTCAAACATGAAAGAATTAACGATAAAAAGTCAACCTTCGCAATATAGAAAAGCAGGATATTTTAGAATTAACGTAAAACATTAATGATATCGTACAAATAGAAATTGTCATCAAAATAGCTGTATAGTTGTAGATATCTAAACAATTAAAAAAATTTGAAGCGTCTTTCCGTATTATACTATTTTTTCTATTTTCTTTATAGAGCCGCCAAAACAAACGATTTACGAATTGCATCTTAAAGTAGCGCGTTACGTTTTTGACGTAGTACGATTTACATAAAGTATACATGGGATTTCAATTAATATCAGTTTATACCTGCGAATAAGTACTTGTGGATTGGGGTTATGCATGAAGGGCTCCTTAAACTGTATAAGAACAAAGTTAAGACGTCGCCGCTACAACTACAGGAGGAACAACGTCGGGTTCTCCGGCACCATCGGCTACAGCGGAATCGACGACTTTTTTAACTTTTATGGATTCCGCACTACTTTCTGACGAACTCTCCGGCTCACCGTTTTGCGCCGCCGCGTCTTCGTTCGTTGTCTCCTTCGATGGCCCTTCATTCAGTCCGTTACTATGTAATTTATCATCCAACACTGGCACATCCGTATTTCCGTTTTGTGTGGTTCCATTGAGTTTTTGCTTTTCCGAATCTACCGTAGTTTTGTCCTTCGTATCCACTACATTCTCTTCTTTCACTGTCTCCTCTTCTTTTATTGTCTCTTGTTGCGTAGTTTCATTCTCGCATTTATCAGCGTCAGTAGTCTCTGTTTCCATTGTTTGGGCCTTTTCATCGGCTTTTTCAGATTCTGCAATTATTTCTGAATTCTTCTCTGCGGATACTTCAGTTGATGCGGTTGCTTCTTTCCTTACGTCCGTAACTGTTTCTTCCGTTTCTGTTACCGCTTCCGATACCGTAGTTTTTTCCGCAGTTGTTTCTGTAGCTTCACCATTTTCTGTGACATCTACTGTTGTCTCCATTTTTGTTACTTCCTGTTCGCTCTTTGCTAAAATATTCTCACTTTCAGATGTATCTGAAACAATCTTTGATTCTTCCTTTACTTCATCTTTTTTCGCTGTCAAACATTCTTCAGATTTTTTTGCTATATTTTTGTCACAAGTTTGTGATTGTGGTACAATGTTATCTGCTTTTTCATCACTTTCAATCGTTTCAGTTTTATCGACATCTTCAACTTGTGTATCTTTTGTAACATCTGTAGAATCTTCGATTTTTTTCTCGGAAGACGTGATAGTGGTCTCAGACTTTGATGCAGACTCTGGTACGGACACGTCCATGGAATCATCGGCTACAGGGGTAATTTCAGTTGCAGTTGTATCTAAATTTTCTTCAGTCTTTTCTGCAATGTCTTTATCATTGTCTTTTGTGGCTAGTATGACATCATCTTTCACGTCACTTTTTGCGTTTTCAGAAGAACCTGACTCCTCATTTGTGCTTTCCTCGGATTTGACATTAGATTCTGTTATCTTCTGTTCAGTATTTGAAATGTCTTTTTCATCTACCCCTGATTCTTCTACTTGTTCTGATGAAATTGAAGTGCTTTCTGATGGTTGGTCCTTTGCACATTCTTTTTCTATCGATTCAGTTACTTCTTTTGCATCATTTTTTTCAACTTTTTTATCACTGACATTGGACATTTCTACATCTTCGGAAGTGTCCATTGGCTCACTAACGTCAGCTGTACCTTCATCAACTTTATCATCTGTCGTTTCTATTTTTTGCCGCTTTGTAGACGATTGAAATGTCAAATCCAAAAAGGACTTAATAGTTGTATATGTAACATTTTCTTCATCAGTCAGTGGAGCATTACCCTCACGTACTACAATTACTGTTGATAAACCTGCTTCCTTGGCAGCTGCGGCTTCTGTTATTGATTAAAGAAAGAAAAAAATAAGCAAAGATATTTGCAATTATCATCCAAATATGATATAGAACATTTTTTTTAATAATTATTATTTCTCACATTTATTCTCTTATTCGGAAAAAAAGGAAATGTACGAACCTTTTACAACATCAGTAAGAAAAACAACATCGGAAGAGTTTTCACTGATTTTACTTAATATATTTTTATAGCTGTCACTTTCTTGCTTTGCACCAACTTCTGTGTCAAAGAAACCGTTGAAATACTAAAAAAAGAACAAAATATTATAATTCATACCAACTTCAAGATATTTGACAGGACATTATAGTATAATATTATTGCGGAATACCTTAAGCAAATCACCATGTACAGAATATTCAAAAAGGAGCTTCTGTGCTTCAACACTGCCACTTGAATAGACATATATTTTTTGGCCATTGTTTGTCCATGATTCAATCGCTTTAGGAACATCTTCATAAATGCTAAACAAGAGGTATTCTGTTGAAGCTTAATATTAAAACTTATTTAAATCTTTTTATTTCTTTGACAAAATTTTATAATTATTTTTTATTAAATTTCAATTATTTTTATAATGAAATTTAATTTGCAAATATTATTCTAGAGAATTACAATTAAAGTTTTTTTTGCAAAACTATTTTTTTTTTATAATAATAGCTGTTTAGGAAAAAAGTAATTTTCAATAAATTTAACATTATTAACTTGTAAATATTCTGCAAGAACATTCACAAGTTAAAATATAAAATTAAAAATACAAGCATTACAGAAATTATGTTTATGCATATATAATAGATAAGAAATCTTATGTGTAAGAATATAAGTGAGATGTAACTGAAGTGAGCCCAAATACTACTATTCACCTCATTATTTGTGATAATTACATAATATAGTATAGTATATTACATGATTTTTTATACATATATATTATGGATGTCTACATATTTTTGTGATACATTTTAACTATGTAATACCGTTTATGTAGGCTCGCTAATATTCTATGTGAATGAGCATACAGAGATTTGTAAAGATGCATATAGGATTAATCAAATTACTTAATATAGAGATGAAAACAAAAGAGTAATAAGATAGAATCACTTACTGTCCTTTAACTGTGCCGGTTTTATATGCTTCACGCCACATATGTCCTTGTAGTTGCTTTAATGCAGCTGTCTTACGATCGTTGTCCATTTGCCATAAAACATTTTTCAAAAGTGAATCTTTTTCTTCTTCGGGTTTATCGCCAGTAATTGCTATAAAACCTTCCAATTTTTCTTCCTCGTCCTTTTTTGCCTGTAAAAGTATTTATTATTATTAAACCATTGGTAAGTGATATATAATTGATAAAAAGTAATAAAGATAATTGATAAAAATAATAAAAAATTATTAAAAATAAGCACTTAAAAATATGAGATTTTATACAATTTACTTCAAAATGTACTTTCTATACCAATTCTTCTTTATCTAAAATAAATGTAATTATTTATGTCTAGTATAAAGAACAAAGAAATATACATGTCATGAAATGTACACGGGAGATAAAAAAATATAAAAAAATAGTGTTTATAGAATTTAATATATTAGATAAAGGATTAATTTTAAACACATTAAAAATTGTACTCATACTGCAGGTTGAAAGAAAGACAGTTAACCAACTTTAAAATAATGATAAAGGAAAAGGGATAAAGGACAGACGCTTATTATTCATAATTTTTAAAAATTCTGTTTTATAAGAATAAAAAAAAGTAACATAATTGTTTAACAATTTATTGTAACAAGACTTTATAAACTTATTCATCTTATTCATTACTTATAGCAAGATAGTTGTTTTGATTAAAGATTTTTATTTTCAATTATATTATTAAATTAATTGATAATTAAATGTATTTTTTAATATTTATTTAAAGCTTTATTATCAAGATTTTAAAACAAAAGATTTGACTCTAAAACTTTTTTTTACAATAAGTCATTAAATGTTTCTTTAACATTATAAATAAAAATTATTCCACATTATTTAATTTATTAAAAATGTTCATATATAAAACAAAAAATGGAAAAAAATGTCCAACTTTAAATACAATGTCATACAAATTCCTCTCACAATTTCAAAGGCAAATTTTACTTTTCTCATCCTGTTAAATTTTTATATTCATCTACTTCTTTCACTGGTAAACATTCCATATATTTACCTGTTCCTTTAACTTTTCGTAATCTTGCTTGAACTCCTCATCCTCCCACTTCGTCTCAATGTAGTCTTTTAGATTCTGACGCACGTAAGGAAAGAGAGTCTCCTGTAAGAGAAACAAGCCGCGTTCATAAGCGCCGTCGCCGGCGCAAAACGTTCACCGGGAAAAATCATGCGCGTGTCCCGTTGTTTCCCGACGGCGTTCCGCGGCGTCTCGGCGCGTCGCGTCAATATATATATATATATATATGTATATAGTATATATACATATATATATATGTACATATATGTATATACTATATATACATATATCAGCGCGACTGGTGTCTATAAAAAGATTATAGCATTTGTTTTTAAACTGTACTCTTATTATCGCTTCGACCGTACGTCATTAGCTGTAAATTGCTGTAAATTCTTTTGGCTGAAAACTCGAACCGATATCCTTAGCTCAAAATGCCTTCTCTTTTCCGTCTCACAAAACACGGCGGTGGCAGCGGCGGGGGGGGGGGGGGGGGGGGGGGTCCCGGGCGGCCGACAACTCCCG